TGCCTGAATACTGGGAGCACATGTGCAGCCATCCCAGGAAATGCTAACACCTGTGGAGACTAAATATTTTTCTGAATGTTGATAGTGTGTGTGGCATGGGACCCTGGAAATGCTGGAAATGATAACAAATAGTGTACTAATTAAGTTAAAGGAGTGGATTGAAGAGACCAGAATACATGACCATTTCCCTGATTGGATGAGTAAAGAATGACTACTACCTTGGTTTTTCCAAGGAGACATGTTAAAATGACATATGCAGCTTACTGGCTCAGCAGATGATATACTCAAGAATGATCCATAAAAATAATAATCTCAATCAGCATCCAGTCCCTACTATGGTACTCATAAAAGGCCAATTGACAAGGCATAAGGAAGTTATCTTCCTTCAAATCCCCTCTTCATTTTTTTTCCTTAATAAATCTAATTTTTTTTTCTTTCTTATTTCATGTTTCCTCATTCTTCTTAGAAAGGAGACAAAGCCTTGGGATCCAATGTCTTCATTCAACCTAGTCATGCTTTCTAGGCATGCAGGCATGGGTTCATTTTCTCTGTCAATTAAAGAATCAAAAATATAGGAAAAAGGTATCTTAGAAATCATAGGGAATCCCAGCCAAAACATTGTGTAACATGGAAATTGGAGTCCCCTCTTTGTAGTCAGATTTTCCTTTTGGGACGCCATTTCACAAATAACAACATGGAGAATTGAGTGTCAATGCTTCGCCATCAGCTTAAGGTTGTCCCACCAGCTCTTATATTTTTGGTTGTGATCTTAGCCATTAGTGGCCAAGCCATCTCTCCAGTTCCCCACTAGCTCTTATAACCTAAATTAACTCGTATTTTTATTAATCTATGTTCTGCAATATGGCTTTTGCCTCCCTTCCATTCTATGCATCAGACTTGTTCCAAGTCTCTATGATTCTACTATGTACCTCATTTATATCCTCTTGTTTTTTGTGCCCAGATGAACTGCCTATCCCTCTTGCCTAGTTATTGACCATTTAGCTTTTTATTACACCAATGACTGAAACACATCTTCACACAGTATACCAGTATTATGTGATACCTCTAGGTGTTCTTAGTCTCATTAATAAAAGAATTTAAGAACCAACATAAATGGAAACTCAAGGTCAAACAATGACAGTTTATTAGCGGTTAAAGGAAAGCCCTAGGGGAAGCAAACTGTAAGTCTTGCAACTGCCTGAAGTTGGTTAAGATAAACTGTCTTGGAGGTCACTCCTATTGATTCAGGAAGCCCATGGCAAGAGTCGAGCTTTTATAAAAAAAAAAAAAAAAAAAAAAAAAAAATACAAAGTTCAAAGCATTAGAGTTTGAAGCACACTGAGCACCAATACTAACTATCAAGCACCTGAAAGAAAATAATAGAACAAAAAGAAATCAGGATTCAGACGGGTAGGTAGTCTGTCTCTGTCTCTCTCTTTGTGTAAAGCATAAGTTTTGAGGTCAAAAAGAAAGGATCAACAGTAAAGTTGAAGTATCTGGACAAAACAAAATGTAATATTCTTTATCCAGAGAGTTCTCCAGAGAGCAAACTCATTGACAAGAGGTAAACTTGGTACTTATTTTAATTTAGTTATTAACTCTTTTTATTTCTGTTGGCTTGGGTCCTACTTCACAGTATTATTCAACTGGCCAGTCTTAAAAAAAAAAAAAAAACATTACACAGAAAATGAAGGAAGAAGGGGAAAGGAATCACTATTTCAAAGAGAAAAGGGTCACTGTTCCAGGGCATGAAATTCCTAAAACGTAGGCCTGGTCCTTGCTGTATAATAAAGATTGTTTTATCATCATCATCATCATCTGTTTTGTTTTTGTTTTTTTGTTGCTCCTGTTTTTTTTTTTTTTTTTTTTTTTTTTGGATGGGGGTGTTAAAACATTTTTTAAAAAAAGACAATTTCTTACAAGATGTGACAGATAAAATGTTTTAATTCCTTGTCCTATATACAAGTTTTAAGTATTTAATAGAAAACGCTCATACTTAATATTTCTTACAAGTGCAGGGAAAGCTTGACATGTGCTTTCTGATTAGTGCATGATCCACCATGGAACCTGTCTTTTAATTGCCTAAGCAAAAGAACTACACTCTAGTTTCATAAACTAGTTATAAAACCCACTGTTGAAGAAGCCCCTCCTTCATTTTCTAAAAAATGCTTCTCAATAGTTAAATTCCAGTTAATTCTAACTATGATGGAATTGGGTCATCTTGGACTTGTTGATTCATTTATTCTTTGAAGAAAAGGTAATCCTTTCTGTAAGAAGTAAAAACATTATTAACAAACATTATTAACAAAACAGAGCTCCCAATATCCAGTCTTAATTCAGCAGGATATAGTGGTTCCTATATTTATGAGTAGCTTCTGCAGTCATCATACTAACTTTGGAGCAGAATATAGAAGGTAGTGATTACAGCAGAATGTCGATGGTCCAGGAAGAGGTGCCAGTGTGAATGCAAGTTTGAAAGTGCACAGTGCTTTTCTTGAACTGCAGTAAACCTTGCACCTTGCAAGCGACACTAAGACAGTGAAAGGAAACAAGGTCACTTACTTCTAAAACATGAAAGATTTGCCTCAGCCAGCTCACATTATCCCAAAGGAAAAATACATAGCTACATCTGAAAACAGACACCAGCACTGCTAACTTGTTTGAGGATGAGTCCAAACACAGACCTGGGATAGAGCATTGTGGAAAGAGGTGGGGCTATTTTGGGTAGGATGACCTTGAGTTTATGACTTTGGAACATTTGTATAGAAAGAACAGGAGAGGGTCACATGTGGATATGGAACAGAAAATAGCCAGAGTTGAAGGAAGGACTTTCAATGCATGAGAATGAAATAGAGGACAAAGTAAAATCTTTAAAACCCTTGTTATCTCGAGATGGGAGGGTAGATCTTAACATGTCATACAGTGGACAACAGATTATGAAATCATTTTAGAGAGAGCATAGGATCCATAGGATGCAATATAAGTTGGATGAGGCAATAATCATGAAAAAACAAGTAAAATATTCATGAGCTATCAATGAAGGTCGACTACAATCATGACAGCCATCATCAACCAAGTCTTTGACCTTCTGTTCTCTGTTTTGTTTACTTTTTTGGTGTAGATACATACACACACACACACACACACACACACACACACACACACACACACAGAGCTATTATTAATTCAGCTTTTTTGAGATTTTAAAGCTGACACTTAGAGATGAAACTTACCAAATTTCACAATTAGTTTTTTACTGAACAAATAATATGAGCCAGTAGACTTATATCCTGAGATCCAGCTTGTAATTCCTAGACAGTGTGACCTCAGAAGATTTATCATTGACTAAGCATTGAAGACATAGGTTGTATAAGATGGATAGGATTCTATTTATTGCTAGAGATGGTGGGTAAATGATGTTTATTGTTAATTCCAAAGATGAAAGGAGAAAGACCACTGACCCAAATATGGCCAAATTAATTAAAGTAAGCAGTTAATTAAAGCAAGCTGTTTATTTGTGTATACAGGCTATCTCTTCCTAAAGATGAGGTTCAAGAGATCAGCGAGGGATCACGAGGAAGACAAGGTTTTTGTAGCTCAAGGGTAGGAGATTTCCTAATGGGGGACTTGGATGGCAAAATAGGCAGAATTAGAGTAACATAACATAAGCATAACAAGGTAGTTATAGCTACAGGTAATCATAGCAAGGTAGTCATAAATTATCTTAATAATCTTTTCAAACAAAGGCATGATTTCTGTTTCCTGGAATAGGCTGTACAGAACCATTCTTAGGTAAGGTTATTACAGATAGGTTATAGCCCATTCCATGAGAAACAGGTTTAGTCATAACAGGAATGAACCTATTTTGTTTTTACTATAAGATGGCTTTTATGCCTAAGATGGAGGCAGGCTAGTTCATCATTTATAGGGCTTAAGAAGGAAATGCTGCAGGAAGAGTCAGAACTGGATTTAGAACTTATTTCCATTTTTCCTTGTATTGAGTACTTTTCAAGAAAAGAATTGCAATAGAGCAATTTAAGGAAGGAGGGGTTTATTCTGGCTTATATATAAATACTTGAAAGTTATAAAAATAACTCCTCTCTGGTACCAGATTTTGGTATTTTTTTACTTACTTGTCTCATTGTTGTAAGAAAATACCCCAACAAAATCAACTTAGTTGTGATTATGGCTTGTAGTTGCCATAAAAATTTAAGGGGATGCATTTCACAATGAAGTTGAAGGCAAGAGCACAAAGCCAGCTCTTCATCTCTGTACTCAGGAAGCAAACCATGATCAGGAAGTGACCTTAAGCTATAAAAAGTCAGACTTTCTCCCAGTCACTTACTTCAGCAAAACTTTACCCCCTAAAGGTTCCTGTTCCAACTCAAACATTGCCATCAGCTAGAGATCAAGTTTTCAATCACATAAGTCCTTATGGGGTCATTTCATATTGAAACAACTAAAGCCTCCAGCATCTTTTTCCTTGTGTCATGCTGTCATGAACTGTCTACTAAGAGCTGGTCACTGTAGACAGTTTAGTGAATGCAAGGCTTGGACACATAACAAAAGAGGCGTGCCAGTGTCTTCAGTGAAGCTCCAGATGACGCCAGTGTGAAAGCATAGCTTTATTTTGGAAAAGAACAAGTAGAAAACACAACTTATCTTTAAGTTAATGGAGAAGTATATTTTCAGCTGTCTACACTATTTGAGGCATGGACCACTATTATATGTTTCTGCATTAATGCTGGAATATCAACTTCGCAGGTACAAAGATTGATATATGCCCTACATCCATTTCTTAGATCCCATGTTTCTTCATAACAGATGTGAGAATTGGGTACACTCTGGAATTTGGAGGTTGACAGAGATGTCCTCTCTCCTTCTTCCATAGTGGCTTTTGACACTGTCCTTTGTTAACATTATCAGCAGGGAAATGTGTGATTTTGCTACTAGATCCAAGGCCTTTAATGTTCTTTGGCACCCTCCTTTCCCCTCCACAGGCGGAACCCTCTGCATTTCCACCTCATCGCTGATTCTATTGCAGAGCAGATTCTGGCTACACTCTTTCAGACCTGGATGGTACCTGCAGTACATGTGGACTTCTATAATGCTGATGAGCTCAAGGTATGGAAAGGAAGAAGGGAAGAAGGGAGAAGAATTTTCTTGATTTGCTGCTGCCGGAAACATTGGTTGTGTGTAATTAATAGGACTGAAGCAAGAAAAGGGACCTCATCTTCTAGTAGGAAATGTTCAGTTTGTATCTGTGCTTATCTGAATTTTATCATTAAGCCACATATTAGCAAAACCGGTTCTCTACTACAGAATCTACTTTGATCTGGACAATTCTAGCCACCAAGGAAATCCATCAAAGCTGAAGTTCTCTGACCTCAGTATGTATCTGAACATGGTCTGTGGTAATCATTCTCTTGTTCCGGTGAGGTGAATGTTGACCTCAGAGTCTAATAGATCTTGTCTTAACTCTATGCACTGTTATCTACTGATCACAAGATACAAATCAATCACCAACCCATGCTGGCACATTTCTTTAGAAACAGAAAGGTTAAAATCCAAGTATTGGGGTAAGTAGGGATCTCTGATGAAGGAATATATGATGACACCCCAAGAAGAACATGCTGAATTAATACTACATTAGGAAGATTGCAACCATTTAAACTCATGTGGTCATTTGATTCCTTTGCTTCAATTTATTTTATAGTGCCACTTTATTTGCATGATGATTAAGATTGTGGTCTAATTAAAGTCTACTGACTGGGGTTCCCAACTCTGCTTCTATCGATCTCTTATCATTGCTGTGAATTCCTAACACTTGTCTATAATCACCTATAGATATTAGAGGACACCTAATATATGTCTTCTCTCCAATGATGCACTCTTTTGCTTCTTCTATTCTCTCAAACTTACTCCCCTAATATCTTGTCACAACCTTGCCCATCCTTTTATACTCAGTGGCATTGCTTTCCTTTCTACTTTTCCAAAACTGAACAATACATTTTCTATCCACTTGTTTTTCAGCACTGTGTCTAATCTGTGCTCTGTTTTAGTCGTGCATGCAGCCAAATGTAGCTATAACTGAATCATGACACAAAATGTAAATATACTTAAATATGGTAAGGGGTGTGTGTGGTGTGTGTATGTGTGTGTGTGTGTGTGTGTGTGTGTGTGTGTGTGTGCGTGTATGTGTGTGTGTGTGTATGTGTATTTGAATTTATGTAGCTGGAGTTTCTTATTCTGCCATGTGCTGTCACCTTTTAGCCCCAAATAAACACACAGCGACTTTATTACAAAACTGTTGGCTGATGGTTATGGCTTCTTATTGGCTAGAGCTTTCTGAATTATTAATTCATAACTACAAATCTATGTATTTCTACATTACCTTATCTTACCAGAGAACACCTGGTGGCTCCTATCTTCCTGGTCTCTATATGGCATCCCTTAGCAGCCTCTCTGCCTCTCTTCTCCCCAGAATTCTCATCTTCTAGTCCTGCCTACCTTCCAACCTCTATTGACCAAAAAGTGTTTTAGTCACCACCCAATAAGAGAATCAGAAGAATATCCCGTATCACAATTTTTTATTTTCTTTCTTTCTTTTTTTTTTTTTTTTTTTTTTTTTTGTAAAATACTTTTATAAATCTTGGGCAATGCAGAATGTGCAAATGGCAGTATTGTGTCACAATATTAAAATGTCAAGCCTGCTACTGGGGTCTAGCAGTACCTCTTTAATAAGTAAGATGAGAACATGCCTTTTTTTCTGTTTTTCTGATACATAATAGGTGATCCACATACTAGGAGATTTAGCATACTTCTGTTGTTAGAGGAGCTGGTAGCTTTGAAGAAAAACTCTAGTTTTCTCTTTCTTATCACTTTGGGAAGGACCAGACACATAGGCATGAGGCTGATTCTGGCAAACATATTCTTCTAAGAGCCACAAAGACATTGTAATTTTACTTCAGTGTAGTAACATTTAAAATAAATTGATAATGTTGGTGCAGGCTAGAGTTTCCAGTTTTCTGATATTTCTGGCTCCAAGATTGATCAAGATGTTCAGAATTTTGCATTTGGAATTGTAATTTGTATGCCATTCCAGTCTATTCTGAGCTAAAAATTGATTAACATTCTTAAAAAGGTAAAAACAAAATTTAGCTGTACTAATTAAGGCGAAAAGCAAATTACTCTTTCTCCCAGGGTCTTAGTGTAAATATCATGGGGAAATGAAAATAGAGAGGAAGAGCAGAGCTGGCAAGAAAGAGGGCTGCCTCTACTCTTACTACTCCACTTCCTCCCTGCCCTGCCCCAATCAAGAAGCCATCTATGGCTTGCTTAGAAACACAGAAGTCAGGTGGGGTGACATAGACCTGTAGTCCCAGAAAATGAGGAAACAGGAGCAGGGGGATAATTGTCTTTGTGCCAATCTGAATGATATAGTGAGGTTCCATCTAGAAAGAAAAATAAATCTAAGTTTTAATTTTAAATATTTGTTTTCCATAGGGAAAAAAAATATGTAATTGAGTCTGTTTCTTGGCTCCCTTACTTGTCAAGTGGGCTGGAATAATGCTAGCCACTGATAGAGGATATATGTCTTTAACTTGCCAGGTTCTTAAAAATGCTTTGTGCTTTCAGACATAGTGCCTGGAACCTATAGTCCCAGCAGTAGGGAGACTGAAGTAAGAGAATTGTTAGAACCCAGGAATTAGAGAACAGCAGGTAACATAACAAGAACTTGTTTTTTTGTTTGTTTGTTTTGTTTTGTTTTTTGGGTGTTTTTGTTTTTATTGTTTGAAAACTGAAGAATCCCAGTCCTTATTGAATCCCATCCTAAGTTGTTGTGGATCCTATTGATCACATGGCCTGGGATATGATCTATAATGTTGATTTGTGATTAGCTTGTTAAAGGGGGAGTGTGCCCCATGGAGCCCAAGGCTTGCCTGAGATCCTGAGTCTTAGATGAAGAGGAATAAAGAGTGCCTATGGTTTTACTCATGGTTATCCAAATTGAGCAGTTGTTTATTATTTTACATTTGGGTTTGTTCTGGTTACATTTTTGTCAGCTTGACACAAGTTATGGTTATTTGGAAAGGGAACTTCATTTGGGAAAATGCCTTTCTCAAACTGTGTGTAGAACATATTCTTTATTAAGAGTTGATGTGTGGGGTCCTAGCATACTGAGTCAGTGCCCATCTAGATAGGTGGTCCTGGGTTGTATAAGAATGCGGACTGAGCATGCTATGGCAAGCAAGCCAGAAAGCAGTGTTCCTCCATGGCCTGCTTCAGTTTTTTCCTTGAGTTTCTTTCATGTCTCTCTTCAATGGTGGATTATGATCAGAATATGTAAACCTCCCCAAGTTGCCTTTGGTCACAGCTCTCAATAGAAAACAAACAAGAACAGTTATTAACTGAGTTCAGGCTTTTATTGTTAAAAAGTGTAATAATTTAAAAAATTCAATTTGTACATTAAAATAGGTACTATCATCTAGAATCTTGTCCTTCATAGAAGATTCCTGACATCTGTATTTTTTCTCCCTGTTTATCATCCCTCTCCCATGTCTCAGGATTCATATTCCTAGAACTTTGCAGGATAATAATTATGGATATATTATATATAGAACATGATGTTTCCATGTCATTAGTAGTCACACAGGAAAACATTTATATATGATTATCTCTGCCAACTTGCATCTGCCCCTCTCCTGGTTCACAGCACTGTTATATGCATAGCTGTTCATTATTGTTTTGCCATTCCTCTTAATGTGTGTTACCCTACATCCTAGCTGAGTACTGTTCTCCTTAGTCAGTATCCCCCAAGCAAGCTTTTTGATTTTTTCCCTAGCCCATTGGCATCTCTTGCCTTCTGTTCAGATTTCCTTTACCAGGTCTATTCTTGCACAATAGCAAGGATCAGTTTTCTGAAAAAGAAAGCCCATGCATGGTACCCCTGTCCTCTGTTTAAAATCATCTATGGCTCTCTATTGCCATTTTGTTTATTTATTTATTCATTCATCCACCCACTTACTTATATTTATTTATTTATTGTCTATTAAACTCTGCTTCCCTGTCTTCTCTGTTCAAAAGTCATTCCATGTTGTTGGTGGGTTGGTTTTTTTTTTTTTTGTTAGTTTGTTTGTTTGTTTTTTTGTTTTTGCTCCCTGGGGAAAATTGTCTACTTCATCATCACCTTGGAGATCCTTTGTTCTGTGCGTTTATAGGATTGCAGATGTTATTTTCAGACAGCTCACCACAGACCATAATACTCCATGCCATCTTGTGAGAAGTGGCTTGTATTATTTTGAAAATGGCTCCCATAGACTCATATTCTGAATACTTGGTCAACAGTTGTGGAACTGTTGGGGAAGGATTAGGCTGTGTGTCATTTTAGAGGACATGTGTCATTGGTGAATGCTTTGAAGTTTCAAGTGCTCACAGCATTTCAATTAACTCCTTATATCTTGTAGTTTTGTCTGTAGATGTGAGCTCTCAGCAACTTCATTGATGCCATACCTCCCTGTCTACTTTTATCTTGTAATTTTGTCTATAGATGTGAGCTCTCAGCAACTGCACCAGTGCCATGCCTTCCTGTCTATTGCACTGGTCCTTGATACCATATCATGGATTGTTAACACTCTGAAACTGCAGGCCTCTCATAAACTGTTGGTCATGGTATCTTATTACAGTATTAAAAAGGTAGCTAAATCCATATGATGTTTGTTTTTTCCCTGGATTTTGTGTCTGTTATATGCTTAATTGGGTACCTAGTTAAGAAAATGTTTGCTAAGCAACTGATACACTGTATGTTCAGAGCTGTTTTGTTCATTGTTTATAATTCTGGGGATTTAACTGAGGGCCTTACAAATACCAAGCATACATCTTACATTTTGCTTTCAGTGAGCGATTAACTAAGCTTCGCAGCCTAGTCTGGAACCTCTGATAATCCTGCCAGAGCCTCCCAAGAGCTGGGATTATGGGCATAGGTCACTATGTCCAGCTCCAGTACTGGGTAATTAGATCTTAACAACAAGGTAAGATTTATCTTTGATCACAAAAGAGAGTCACCATGTTTCTGAGTATGATGTGGAGTCTGTGTGGTCAGCCAGATGTCTGCCTGGACATGG